AAAGAAAGAAAGAAAGAAAGAAAGAAAGAAAGAAAGAAAGAAAGAGCCTCACAAATCTCCCAATGAACTCCATGGTTGAGCAGGAATTTATTTCCAGGATGCTATTTTAACCTTCCCCCCCCTCCCCACCCCATGTTGAGTCACCTGCATTTTCAAATCTATCTTTTGAATGAGCGAAAGCCTCTATTTATTTCAGGAGAGGAAGGAAAATATACTTCTGTGCCTAAAATAGGCTGGGAATAATACATAAGAAACAATTGAGAGATTCCCATTTTGTGGCCTTCCCATATCAGCTATTTTATTGAGTGACTCTTTTGTCATGTCAAATATGCAGAATTGCAGAAAGTTGGAAAGCCTTGCCCCGTTCCGTTCCTAGGCTGATTTTGTATTGATAAAGAAGTCCTTTTGGGGAAGGAGCATCAAAACGTTCAAGCCTTCCCTACCTGATGTCTAGAATAGTGGCATGCTGCTTCTCAGCCCTCAGCTGGAACTTGCATTCATCAGCTTGAACCCTTAAAGGCTGTTTCCATGATCTTTGAGGAAGACCTGAAATAGGGATGGGCATAGTCTGATGATAGTCCAATAAAAGTAGTACATTGCCATATCTCCCACCACTGACATAGAATTCTCTTGCTTTTGGCTCAGTGTGCCTTCCAAAGCTATTTGGGAGAAAAAGATGCTCCCATTGTATCGGGTTATCTCTATTTCCTGATAGCAGGGTGGCAGGTTTTTGCTCAGCTAGGGTGAGCAGCTAGGATGAGTTGTCGTCTTTGGAGGAATGTGTTCTAGAAACTGAATTGTATGAATAAGCAAAGAAATGTCCAGCTGGGTGATAACTTCCTACAGAAGTATGGCTGCTTAAACCAATCAGGGCTACCTAACTCTAGCAATTGGTCTCTGGTGTCTTTATATTAAGGGTGACTGTGAAGTTGTAGGCATTCTAAAGCAATAGTTTCCAACTGGCTAGATGGGGAATTCTGGGAGTTGAAGTCCATCCATCTGAAAATGGCTGAAATTGGGAAACATTGCTTTAAAAGATCTACATGAGAAAAGTTATCCCAGTTCAGAACGAAGACCCCAGGCAGCTCAATAATCTTGTCCCATTTCCTTCCAAGGGAGATAAGTAGACCGAAAGGTAAAAAGGTCATTTCAACCAAACCTCCACCCCTAAAATCTCAACCCTCACTGATCTTGGGATTATGGCAGGGGTGGGCTTCAAAAATTTCAGCAAGGGGTTCTTTGCTCGGTTGCTGAGTGGGCGTGGTCATGGAGGTGTGGCCTAGTCCATTTCCTGTACCACGGGGTGGTGGTGGTGATGGTGTTCCGCCTTCCCCAAGCTCCGGGGGCTTTCCTCAAGCTTCTGGGAGGGCGAAAACTGCCTCCCCCGGGCTCCAGAGGCCCTCTGGAGGCCGGAAATGGGCCCATTTTTGCCTTCCAAAACTTCCAGGAGGCCCGTTTCCCCACCTCCCCACGCCTCCGCATGGGCCCTGCACTTACTTCGCATCCAAAACGGGCCGCATGGAGGTGAACCTGTAGCAGCCCACTCCTGGATTATGGCTTCTATTTGTTTGTTTGTTTCTCTCTTACCTTTCTTATTTTTACAAATAACTCCACGTGGTGAACATATGAACAATGAACACCTTCCTCCTCCCATGTTCCCCAGAATACCCACCCTATATGGTGGGTTGGACTGAAAGAGAGTGACTGGCCCAAAGTCACCCAGCTGCCTTTCATGCCTAGCTGAGCAGGCTGGGGATTCTTTATATAATGGTCTGACTTATACCTTCTGCAACTGCATAGCTTTTGAGTAGTTTACAATGTGGGAGGAGAGTCATGTTAGTTTTTGACAGCAAAAAAATCAGAATAACTAAGAGTGGAAGCTACTAGATTCCTGTAGATTTTTCAATAGCTTACATTGAACAAGAGCAAAAACTCAATGTTTATGCATCCACGATAAGATTAAAACAACATGAATCAAATTATGAAGGCATAAAATAAACACGGAATAAAACCATCCTATCACTTGCTGTAAACGTCCTTTACATCTAGAAAATTTCAGATGCAGGAAACCTAGCATTAAAAATAGAGCTCAATTTTGAAAGAGCCATGAGCTGAATGCCTTTCTTGTTATCCTGTTTTTTTGTTTGTCTGTTTGTGGGGTGGGTTTTTTTTTTTAGTAACGTGACATACCTTTTTATTTATGAGATTTAGATCACATGATATCATTGCATGACCTCCTAACTGAGCATCAAGGAAAAGATTAAAAGCATGATAGCATGAAGTCATGTTCTGGCTTGATTACAGGGTCTGCTAACAGTTATATTTGCATTAAATTTAGTTCCCCACCCTTTTTTATGGTTTGT